AGAGAGGGAGGGGTGTGAGACAGGGGGAGGGAGAGAGAGAGGGAGGGGGTGAGACAAGGGGAGAGAGAGAGAGGGAGGGGGGTGAGAATCTGAGAAAGAGAAATATAGCACATAATGAAATAATATATGAGTAATAAATACCAGGAACATATTCTATAAAATCCATACAAATAGTAAAGAAGCAACAGACTTCCACAATGAAAATACAATCTATCATTGTCATGCTGTTCAAATGTTGATGTTGTGACTGATGACTAAGGGGTGGATTTTAATGAAATGTCGATTCTTTTTCTTTTCATGTTAGAACTATGTCTTTATTGTACTAAGCATTAATTTTATATTACGGGAAAAAATGACCCGTTTTATAGGACTTTTATTGCATTTTTCATAGATTTCAATTTTTTTTTTTACATTTTTCTGTCATTTTTATCCCTTTGAATATCAAGCTTGAGAATCTATGGCAACTACGAAGGGGTGGGGGTCTGAGTGGACCCCACCACATCATTGCTCTTCCAGAGATGTAAATGATAAGAATCAGGTTTTTTAGAGATAACATAAGTTAACTGTAAGACAATAATGATGTTTTTTTTTCTAATTCTTTGTTGTTATTATTATTATTCATAGTTTCACTACATGCATGACAAACAATATTTGTTAAATGTTTCTGATGACTTGAAAGCATGTACTAGTACATTTTGCAGGATATGTTTGGCTTTCTATCAGTCTTTTTAGGATATAACTGTCATCGGTTTCTCTTTGACTGTTTGCAGAAGTATGTAGTACTTCTTCCATTTCTTTTGGAATAAGATTTTGTATCGCATTGAAATGGCTGGTATGGATCTGTAAACATTGCTTGCAATGAGGCGTAACTAATTCTTTCCCGAGGTCTAACAAAAATCTTTGTCTTCTATGTACAAAATTTATTTGGAAATTTTGATTTTTCCTCTTCCATATTATGTTTAAATACAAAAACCTCATGTTAACTATGTTGAGAAACAAAGCACAAGGTCACCTTGTGGTCCTCACTGATGTCCTTCATTGACCATTTTATCCAGTTCACTTTCAGATCCAGTTGAGTTTCTAAGTTATTTCCTAATAAACGTAAGACCTCATCACAATAAGTTCCATTATTTATAACGCACATTTTACGTATTTTCAACATGGTTCTCACATAGCAAATATAACAAAACCAGTATAAATTGCTGAGCAGGACTTTATGTTATGCATTCAAAATCTAAATATTATGCAGAAATTTATGGAGAAGAAGATAAAAGATCAATCAAAGCCTTCTATCATGCCCATACAAGAAAGTACAACTTTGAAAGAAAAATTAATATGCACACCAAATCCCAAGAGGAGAATTCATGACCTCCAGAGAGAGAGGAAAAAAAGAAAGAAAAGAAAAGAAAAAAGAAAAAAAAAAGAAAAAGAAAAAAAACAATTTTGAAATAAATGGTATTATTTTTGCTTTTTACGCTACAAACATGAAGATCTATAGCACTCTGGACAATTAAAAAAATCAACACTACATACTCATCGTTCCACAATTTAACTATTAAAAATATTCCTTTGGGGTCACCTTGGATCCTGGTACTCGGAACGTTAAAGCATTTTTCGTTGATTTCATCAATTTTAATATTAATTTTAATGAATTGCTTCAAATAATGTTTACGAGATGAAACAAATGTTCTCCACAGAATTCCTAAGTAGCCTATTCAATTTATTTGTTGAGCATAATATCATCAAATCTGCTCCCTACTGATAATCTTTTTTACTCACACAAAAACATATACTCTTTGTAGTTATCTAACAAATGAAATTCAAAAACTGCATGTACTTACCATGTGCGTGATTCCATGCGAGTGTGCATCACCATATAGCGATAAATATTGAGAACTCTTTTGCAGGTGTCTACTTGTTCCTCCAATAATAATGGATACTCAGCACTCACTTCCAGCATGAAGACATTAGCTGCATGGCTAATAAATACCTGCAACAGATTCTACAGAAGCCACATAATCAGTAGAGATAGTGGACTTACACAATGAAAATAATCACTACTTTCATTAAATTTAATGGACAGCAATAATACTCTTATGATTAACAAATGCATATTATTACACTTATAAATACAAGAATTTATAGAAAAAGGCTTTTTTTATAGAACCTGTTTTAGAATCAGACAAAGATACCTAAATGGTTGTTTAAGAATTGTTTGTTACGATTATGCTTCATCCTCACAAGCATTGTTTAGATATCTCTGTTCTGCAGAGCACACCAAAGATGTACAGTGGCAGTCTCAGAAGCATTGCGATTGAAATCCCTTTAAATCTAGATATTTTCATTAATACGTTAAATGAAGTTTGCATATTACGCTTCAATGGGAGCAAACAGAAATAGTCTTTCAGTCACATTTCACATACGGATCCAAGTTTCACCCATTACTCCAAATTTCATGAAAATCTGTGAAAATAACCTCCACACACATCTGCTCATAAAGAATTCCACAATTTTTGTTTCTGTGTCATTACTATATGTGTTTCTTTTTTTATTTATTTCTTTGTTGTTCATATGCAGGCAGTAGCATCAAAGACAAATCACAGTATACGTTGTACATCATTTTAGATAATTGTAGACAGTACTATAACATCAAGCAAATCCTAATAAAAAAAAAAAAAAAAAAAAAAAAACAAAAAAAAAAAAAAAAAAAAAAAAACAACAACAACAACAACAACAACAACAACAACAAGCATTCTTGCCATCATAATTTAAAAAATTTCATTAATTCATGTTTTTCTGTTTACTTAGAAACAATTGAGAAATAAACTTGAAGTTGGCTGCGAAACATTATTATATCCTGTTTGAGATTAACATTTTTGACTATTATTATTAATTTATTTAGTATAATTACTTCACAATATTTCTTTTCGAATTCTTTATCTGATGTACTAATGTTAAAGGGTATATCTTGTTAATAAATATTATTATAATATTAAGTAAAGCTTTAAAATGTTTTTCAGAGAAGTCAGAGCAAAAATCTGAAGTTTTAACATTCTATGTATATTAAAATGCTCTAAGTATTTAGAGATATCAATACAAAGTGGTACATATATCATTGTAAAAGACCTTTTTTGTTTACATAATTATTGTTGTTTTAAACTCTGACTGTCCTGACCACTCTAATCTCATAGCGAGATCCAAACTCAACTTGGCTTAACTGAAAGATTCTTGAGATCTGCAAACAGGAAGCTGTGGACAAAATATCGACAAACTAAAGAGAAGTCACTATGTAGATAAGATCTTCTTCAGAAATTAGATATCTGGAGATAACAGATTTTTTGAAAGAACTATGAACAAACCATTGCCCAAACTAAAAGCTGTTCTCGTATACCAGGAGGCAGTTATCTTGACAATCTCTATACCTATATCATTGCACATAGAAGATAAGTGACTCATGGGTGACCTACTACCAACATCTTTTTTCTTAAGTATTTCAAGCAATCTACACAGTGGAACCGGATAACTATCTTAATTGCTATTGACACTCCATATTCAGTGAATTTTTGGTACAATATCGACCTGTAGACATGAACACACAAGACATCACAGACCTCCAACTCTCTAGTCCGAATTAGTCCAGCCAGACCAGAGTTCCCCACTAGTTTTGATTGATAGATAGATAGATAGATAGATAGATAGATAGCAACTATCTATGCTAATCTATCTATCTATCTTTTTTTTTTTTTTTTTAGCGAGGGGAACTGTGGAATCTTCAAAGACGAGAGGACCGACGTCCTCACATTGTGAGATTTTTACCGCACTAAAACCACAAGCTTTGTGTTCTGGCGTTATCCCCCTGGAACGCATTTATGCATTACTTCAGGATGGTGCGCAAGCTGTATTACTTCGAGGTGTTATTCGGTTCAGCTATGATGGTTTCTTTGTCTTCTTCCTTCTTCTTGAGAATGGCGGTATGATAATTTCTCTATTGCTGTCCACTTGCCTTGTTACAAGATCCAATAAGTGTGACATGTTTTTCTGGTGAGACATTACACCCGCTCCATATCATGCGCTGCTTAGCGTGTCCCATCTCGGGCATGGGAACAGCGTATGTTCGGCGGTCGTCCCTTCATGGTTGCAGTAGAAGCATACGCGTTCTTCTGTCTTGCTGATCTTTTTAAGGTATGCTTAAAACATCCATAGGCCAGTGAATGCCTGAGTTAAGTGGTATGTCAACGGACCCGTGTTTGCGGCTTATCCATTTGGGATTATATTCGGGATGAGCCTATGAGTCATCTTGCGGTTCTGCCTCTCTGTCCGCAACGTTCCTGCAGGGTGCATAGTTTCTTTCGCTTTTTTTAATTGGCCTATCATTTGATCTTGTTGCATTCGCGCTTCCGTTGCGCTTTCTTGCTCGTGGAGTAGTTGTAAACTTCTTTTCCTTTCTAAGAGAAGCAGGTCAATAGAAGGGAGTTCGCCAGCAGAAGAACAGCACTGTCGGTATACAGTTCTATACGCCGATGTTTATGCGTAGAGCTCGCTTTCTCTGGAAGACTGCATTTTCCTTCTGAGATTATTGCTTTAAGAAGGTCTGCAGATCGGTGCTGGCTAGAGCATTTTCGAGTGCATACACTAGCATTAAAATTCGTTG